TATCTTAGAAAAAAAGTCCTGTATATCGAGATTTATTTATTAATTGGAAGATTTGACTTAAGTCACTCAATTTCACAAATAATCTGTTGTCAAGAATTCGTTTAAAATTATTTTGTTTGTATTAGTATTGACGGCGATAAAAAGTCTAGAAAATTTTTATCGAGTGTTCCGTTTCTTGCGAGAGCCACTATATGAATTTTATAGCAAATTTAATTAAAATGAAAGCAAACTGCAGAAATGATAAGAATTGAATCAAAAGTTGAGGTGTTATTCTAATACATTTGAAAGAGTCAAAACCAGTTAAAAGTTATACTAATAATGTGGATAGAAATATTTTTACCGAGATAAATATAATTTTACACGTACTTCCGTGCCAATTTTTATTCGAACATGCACTTCCAATGAAATTCATCCATGAATTTACTCGAATTATAAACTAAATGCAAATTTCATGAATTTATGCAAAATTCAATAAATTTGCTTGAATTTCCAATCAAAATCTATAAAATGCGCGAATTTACATAAAAAAGTCAGGAGTTTGTCAAAAGAATAAATTTTAATGAATGAGATAGCGAACCCATAAATTTACTCGAGTCAACGCTCAAAGTCTCTCATAATCGAAAAGATTAATATGTGTGCTTGAGGAAATTAATTTGCAAGCGATTTTTTGACATAAATTTTCTCAAAATTTACTTGATGTTAAACAAAATCACGACTAGTTCTTTATTCACTGAACTGATGTATATTAATCAAATTGAGATTTTACAATCTTGTTTCTTGTCGTATTGTATAGCGTGTACCCCCTATAATATATTACCGGAAGTTCCAAAAATGAATTTGTCACTTTGGAACCCGATATCTCGACATTAGATTCGTATAGTCGAGACGAATCTAATGGTGATACTTTTGTTCGAATGGGTTCACCAGATGTCGAGATATCGGGTTCCAAAGTGACAAATTCATTTTTGAAATTTCCGGTAATATATTATAGGGGGTGCACGCTATACAATAAAATTATTATACAGAACATATTGTCCTTCTGCATTCTTGATGATTAAAGAAAAATTTCAAAACAACATCCCCTTATATTTTGTCTGACAATTGAAAATGAATGAATTCAAAAAAACCTATTGTTCAAATAGGCCGGCTCAAAAAAAGCAAATAACCAATCAGTGCTGTCGCGTCAAAAAAAAAATAATCAAACTGTGATACTTGCCCCTTTTCGCGTGTCTTTACGTGGAATGTGGAGTGTGTATATCGATATGTTTATATATCGATGTGTTTATATATCGATATGCGGTGTAAATCTTACCTACAAATCTAGATTCGGAATTCATGTATAACTTATATTTCGTTAATGCATTACACTCAAGGGTTCAAATTTCGGTTTCATGGTTTTTTTTGTGGTATAATTTAGGAAAAAAGTAATTTAGTTAAATTAATTAAAAGTCGCATAATTTTTAAATATCTGTTAGTCTTTGTACCAAATAAATATCAGGATGTTTAATGAATGAAAGAAAGAAAGAAAAATTCGATCATAGAATCATCATTGTCGCATATTTGCGTGGCTTAACTTGTTCTCTATAATAAATTTTATTTGTTATTATTTCTTTGTAATCGGCTGGTTTTTTTTTTAAATAAAAAACTTACGCGCCTTTGATTATGCACAATTTAAAGAATTCTTTCTTCTATTAACAAACAAGATAAGCATAGAATGGCAACAGCAATAATCATATTAAAAAATTCCGTGATTTCATTTTTTTCCAACGATGAATTCATTGTACGTTTGTGTTTATTGGTATATCAAGCTAAAAATTTGCCCATCCAGTAATATTCCAGAAATTGAAAGAAAATCGCTAAAGAAAAAAAAAAGATTCGATGCTCCTACGCCACTTTAGATAAAGAACCCCTTTCAACTAGCACCAAAAGCGGTGAACAACACGCTTTTTTTAACAATGTTGATTATTGTTTTTGATGTCTTCTTGTACGTTTAATTAATAAAAAAGAAACTTTACGTTTTTCCGGTGCAATGAGTGATCAAGTATCAATTAATTAAACCAGACTAAATTTAGAAGAGATTGCAGATCAAAATTGTTACGTAGTAGGCTCAAGATAGAATGCTGTCAAAGTTCTCGGTTCAATCAGCTTAAGGCTCATAAATCTATACTAACGACAAAAATCAACCAAAAAACGTGGAATAACACGCGTTATTTCGAGACGTGTAATCCATTATTATGAAACAAACAAACAAAAAATTTTTTCACACGCATCGATAAATAGATATTCGATAAATAGATATTGAACAAATACGACTCGGGAACGCGTGAATTCTAAAAACGATTTTATTAAAAAAAAACGAAAAATGCGTATATTTCCCAGGGCTCAATACATATTTTGTTTACCTCTGACTACATTATGTCGATGCACCGTGCGTTTTATTAAACAAACCGTGATGCTGCATATTAAAAATACAAACGTAATCACAGAACAGGTGTTATTGTTGAAGGGAGAGGGAAAGTGCATAATACGTAGCTTGCTCTAACATTTAGCAAAGATGTTAGATACATACATAGCTCAAAACTACTACTACCATCACAGGGCAAAAAATGCATTAAGCAACAAGTGAGGAAAAAAGCAACTTTTACATTATCAATGCGTGAGAAGATTACAAATCTAATCTATTACATAACGATAATTCAATACGTAATACGCCGTTTAAAATTTTGGGACTTCTCTGATTTTGTGATGAAAATTAACATTCTACCTTTCGGTCACCGATTTCGGTTATTCCACCATTTTAAATACATATACGTCATAACTGTGTCATAGATTATTGTTATTCTTATTCTTATAGCCAATTGGTCTTTGTTCTTTATTCGATGATAATGATTCATTCAATTACAATACATTTTTTGATGAAATTATCGAAGAAAAAGGATGACAATGAAGCAAATGAAGCAATGTATCCCTTAACGCTTCTTGAACCCCATCATTTTAACTTGATAATTTTCGGGGTTTGGATTACAATTATTTATATTATCTATATTCGGTAAGAAAATCTCAAATTCATTCATGCAAAATGAGCAACGGTTTTCTGGTCACTAAGCCACGTTTTTTTGTTGTTATTGCCACCAAACGTGTTTCTTTGCTAAGCCACGCATATATGTAATATATTATGTTCATGGGAACTTTTCACACCTGCATGCATGAGAGGTTGAATGGTTTATCCCGTCTTGGATGTTGAGCGTTAATATTAATGCTTAATCCTTTCCCTTCTAGCTTAAGTTGTCTCTTTCTCTCGTTTTTTCGCTTAATTTTCATTAGAATCTTAATAAACAAAAATTTTGCATCAGCGATATTCCGTGATGTATAACAAAAACAAAAAAATGCGGTCTCCGACATATAGATGAACCAAACGAGGCGTAATTTTAATTTTGTTGTTTTTCCTAGTCGGCCAACAGCCATCTCTCGGTGATTATCCAAAGAAAAGCAGTATTAGGTTTAGATCGAAGAAAGAGCAGGCAGAACTTTTTGATTATCACTGGAAAAGAAATCTTCAAACTAATCAGTTCTTCACCCCAGTCAATCATTTATATCATCCATGGTAAAGATTTTCGTCATGCTCTCTGCTAACATACAACATCAATTAATCTTTCCTTATTTTATAGTTTGATGCTTAATTCGACAGAATAAACATCAACAATATCGTGACCCATGTGGTCCACAACAACCAGCAATGAGAAAAAAGTTCTTTGTCTCGAAATTTTTTGTGAACCGTTTCATTTTTAATTCATTTTAAATATTATAATAATAAGTATAATAAATATAATAAATATAACAATAGTAATATAAAATAAATAATGATGAAATTATTAGCAAGTTTATTTCTTGTTTACTCAATTCGTGATCCTTGACTTATTTTTTTCATTTGAATCATGCATAACCTTGCATCCTGTATAATAAGTAAAAACACCAACGTTCAAAAAAAAAAGAGGGTATCTCGTCAGAGAAAGTCCTTACAAATATTACATTTGTTGTGAGTTATGATCATGATCATAGAGAACCGAAAGAATAATAACAAAATTTTCGTGGATTGTTGGCAAGTAAAAAATGCTGACCTGTACCATTAATTATTGTAATTATTGGAACCAAAATAATGTATGTCATAGTTTTTTTTTGTTTCTTCTGAACAGAATATTTATTAAGAATGTCCACAATAGTAAAATGGACCATTTTACGGTATAGGGGCTTATTTCATTTTCGCAGAATTTCCGGGTGGTGTTATCAAAAAGCAACCAATATAAAATAAAAAACTAAAAATGGGGACATTCTTTTATTCGAACACAAAATACGCCAACCAAACCAACCCTTACCACAATAGTAAAAAATGATTGGGATGTTTTTTTCTTTGTCGTATTAGCACAAATAAATATTCCATATAAAAAATAAAATTTTTTTTACTTTACTCTTACTTTAAAATACAACTTCTGCAGATCTATCATCATTTGTAATGTAATCATCATCAATATAATTATAATTATATCATCCGAATAATATAATATAAATAGTATAAATACATCAAGCAATCTCCGTGCATTTAAATTGTATATATATATACATACTGCACGTTGACACTGACCCACCTTACTTTTACTCTCTTCTATCTCCACCATTAATTACCACCATATAATACTCACAAGAAGAGATACTTGAAGTTTTTCGTATAACACCATTAAAAAATATAAAAAGGACAACGAAGTTCCTCTTCTATAGTCATAATTTATTTGATAAAACAAAAACAAAACCACCAGTAAAATCATATATCCACTTTTCCATAGATAAAAACGTAAATATATGATACATTATATACTAGTATTATTGCGCATATATTATTAAAAGAGTTCAAACATATAAACTCGCTCTTACCACAACTCGCTGTACATAGCTTTTCTTTATAAAACGAAACGTAAAGCCCCCCAAAACACACACACACAAACAAAATGTTGGTACTAAAATACAATAAAATTTCTTCGGACCATCTCATAACCATTGAATCGGTAAGTATTTGCGTCTTTAGACGATACAGTCAAAGAACTTCTACAAATAATAACCTTCTTCGCTTCCGTTACTAAAAAAATATAGACGATGCTTAAATTCATCGATGGCAAATTACCAAATACCGGAATGGACTTCAAAGTCTGGGACTGGTCAATACCAGAATTATATGGCATCTTGATAGGAATGTTTGTAAAACTAAATCTACAGGAAACCCTCAATATCACAACCTCAGAAATACTTGACTTTATAATCGAAGTTGACCAAGGATATCTACACACATCATATCATTCATTCTACCACGCAGTGGACGTCGTAGCTGTATTATATTACATGTTGACAGAATTAGGAGCTGGAAAATTCCTCACCTCTTTAGATTGTATCATATTATTAATAGCTGGGTTATGTCACGATATTGGTCATGTAAGTGTCTTTTAAAACACTATCTTCTTCTTTCGGAATTTGGAATGAAAACTAAGAATTTCTCTTAATTTTTATTATCATTAGGCTGGTTTAAATAATGTGTATCAAGTAAATGCTAGAACAGAATTAGCTATTCGATACAAAGATCAATCGGTGTTAGAAAATCATTCATGTACACTTACGATGAATATCCTAACAAAACACAAACTATTACGGAACGTGCACACATGTCGGACAGAATATTATGGCATGCCACCAAACCAGGTCGATGAATCTCTAAGAAACCTAATAACAAAAACGATACTGGCAACTGATATGATTTTCCACTATGATCTCATGGAAAATCTCAATACAATGATTGAACAAATGTGGTCGCCGACAAGTTCAGCAGAAAATTCTGGAGACGAAAGTGAAAGTTATCCAAATTCGCCAGTCTCTTCAGTTGCCTCATCGCCTGCATCATCATCGTTACTATCGATGTCACCTCTGGGTCAAAGTAGCAGTAACGCAATATACGATTCCGATAATAGTTCACAATCATCCCCGAGAAGTTCGATAATGGTTACACTCGATGCTGATCAACGTGAACTTTGGTGTAAAGTATTATTACATGCGGCAGATCTTAGCAACACCGTCCGACCTTGGGAAATATCAAAACGATGGTCAGATATGGTAGTCGAAGAGTTCTTCTTGCAAGGAGATCTTGAAAAGAAGAACAATTTGCCAGTTTCACCAAATATGGATCGTAAACAAACACATCAATCTCAAATTAGTTTGGGATTTGGTGATTTGGTGGTTAAACCATTTTTCGAAGCATTCGCTGCATTCTTGCAACCTGCGACTATTTTCTTGAATATTCTCAAAGATAATCGTGGCTATTGGGATGCATTATCAAAAGAACCTCAACCAGAACCAAAAACCTCGGACAACGGAAAACTGCTGTCAGCTAAAGCAGCAAACAACGCTCGTCGTGTTAGCTTGGCTGCTGGTCTATTAATTATTCCAGATGATATACACGATAAAATGCGTAATTTGCCACGCCCTCAGAGATATCGTAAACTAAAACGAAGTCTTTCCGGCAGATCATTTAGTCATCACTCTTTAGTATCAGGAAATGGTAATAACGGTCATCTACAGAATGATCATTTAGGCGATGACCTGGATGATGACCAATATATAAAACCGACACGTCGGAAATCTGCCGGTCCAAATTCAACACTTTCTGGGCAAGTGACCGAAATGTTACTTCAACCTCCCCCTAGATCATCACCAGCTACAGTTCCAACTCTATCAATATCTACACTTCCTTCATCGACGGATACTACACCTCCTTCATCGACGGATACTACACCTCCATCGACTACCACTACTTCTACCACCACCACTACTTCTACCACCACCACTACTACTACCATCATCGATCAAAATTATGCTCACAATAACAGTAATCCCACTTCCAATAGTGCTCTTTATCAAAGACGTGTTGGTCGCGTGAGACGTAGTAGTTCACTGGATCAAAACATGATTCGACAGATTACTGCATATTACGGAACCAGAGGCGATTTTCCTTCGCCTATGGAACAAAGGGCTGTAGTGGCAGGAAGTTAATTTCCTGAACCATATATAACCTTTATTAATTCCACTGTTAATATATTACATATGTACATCTTTTCATACATCACATTCTTTTTCCGTGTTAAATAATTCCACTCAATCCCGATCAAAATAAACATTTCATTTTTTATTATTAAAAATAGACTGCTAGTATTACATTTACTTAGACGAGAAAAATCTCATTTATCCCCCTCTAAAAAAGTATGCACATAAACGTAAAGTCTTTAGAATGTTTTTATTATCAATCACTAATTAAATATATTTTATTTTTTTAAAATTCTAACTTCTCTACAACATCATCACTTTTTTTAGATTCATCTCATTATGTATTGTTGTTAGATACAATAGTATAAAAGTCTAGTCATCGATTGGCAAGAAAAATTCTCATCAATCAATCTTTCTTTTGTAATATATTTTATCTTTTCATTTTTTGATCATTTCTGTCTTGTTTTGCATAACTCCTTTCTCCTTCATATTTCGACACGATATATATATAAATACGATTACATTTCTTCATACCAAACCATTTTTAATAAACATACTCAAAAAATAAAATTGCACCATCAAAAATCTGAAATGAAATAAATATGCTACCATATGTTAAAAATGCTTCTGCTAAAAAATTAAACACGGAAATTAGGACGGACCGAAAGGGAATGACAAGAAATCTTTTTTTTTTCTGTGCACTATTTCTGTGCGAGTGTTTCGTACACAAGTTAATGCAATTTAGTCTGTGTTCTTTGTATCATCAATATTTTCTGGAATACACACATGGTCACATTGTTGAGATTTTATTGATTTAACTATTATTTCCTCATAGATTAATTAATTGCTACAATTACACAAATTATTTTGAACGCGCGGGTACGCGTGGGTACGTGTATATAGCTACACAATTATAATGATTCGTCGTGTTACATGCTTGAAGAAGCAAGTAGGTTTTCTTACTTATCGATGGTAAAGTGAACGATAATAAATCATTTACTATTACGAGTACGTATTCACTCACAGAGAACAATTAAATTGTACATTTACAAAGTTACGCCCCAATACTTTTCTATTAATTAATTCATAATTAGCGTCATTGATTATTCACCAATAAAACACGTTATTTCTATAACAAAGAAAATAAAGTTTGTGTACAAATGTATGCAATTATGCGTGAGAGTCGAGAGAAAGAAAGAAAAACGCGGCGATGTCAGGCCATTGTTGATAATGATGATAACGAGAACGTGTTCTCATGTACAACAGAGTACTACATGTACTCAATGCAACTTCTTTCGTTCTTGTCTTTCTCCATCGAGAGGCCCATTTATTAATTATAGATATTAAATCAACATGACATTATCTCAATTACAGCTAGAACGAATAAAATAATATTGTGAACTTGTTTATTGTCAGTATATACCGAAAAAATGTCAGCCAATAAATAAAAAGACGCGTCTTAATTAATCAAAACGCGTATATCATATAAATAATTTTACATATGATTCATTAGAATAGATTCGTTGTGTTATGGTAATGGCGACATTGACGCTTCTTTAGCTGTTTGCTCTCGAAATTCAATGCGTTCAACACCAGCATAATATCCGTCTTCCGCTTTCGGTTGCAGCATCGAGCATAGATCTACACCTTTTATAATGTGAGTGCCGAAATCGAAATCTTGTTTTCATCGAAAAGAATAGTTTAATAATTGAATTATGTAACACGTTATTATTTTTCAATTACCTGTGAATGCTTTATACAGTTCAGGAGGAACTCGTCTAACTCTTTTTCGTTTCTTATTTTTTCCTTTTTTTGTGGATTTTGCTAATGTTGTTGCCTTAAGTACTCGCTCAAGTTTTTCGGCTTTTTTCATTTTCTTGAGCTCCCTTTTCGGGATCTTCAAATCTTGTTTCAAATCAGATGTCGATGAAATATATGCAAATTCTTCATAGTTATTTTCTGCGGGTTCTTTTGTTGTCGTCACCGTGTCTTGATTCTCATCCATCATGACGACTGAATCCGCAGACGATCCTTTTATTGGAGCTTCTTCTTTGTCCTTCTCAGTTAATAAAGATGTATTGCTGATTTTATGATCACCGGTCAATTCTTCCATATTGGTTGTTGGCTCTTTTGTCTCTTCTTCCTTTTCTCCGTTATTATTATCTAATTCCTCTTCATTATCAACAGACAAATGACCCGTCTCTTCTTGTTCATCGTTAAATAATAAATCGAATCCCGAGCCAAAATCTATTTCATCTTCATCTTCCGCCGCTTCTTTATTTAGCAATTTCTTTCTTGAAATAAATAATCTTTTTCCGGAAACCTTCATTAGCGTAGCGTGAGGTTTGAACTCTGCTTCGAAATCTTTTCCACTTTGGTCGGGCAAAAGCCCAGCCGCGTGAAATCTATCAAATAGTGCACGCGATAGTTTACAAAATTCAGTCAAGCCGGGAGTTTGTTTTGGAGTGGTGAATACTACTCGGCCATTTTCAAAGGTGTCTATGCAAAATATATTGTGAGATGCGTTATTGTAAGGAGTATGGCGTGATTTTTGTGCTTATTTATTGGTTGGATTTTTTTTCTGGAATTAATATCCTTATAAAATTTTTCTAATTATCAAAATATCAGAAATAAATCTTTGCATTCATTACCTATCCCGAGAAAATGCAATAAAGGTCCTCCTTCGGGAAAAAATGTATCTAATAGTTCTTTATTCTGCAGCAAACATTGTCGTGCTTTTTCGATCTCTTCCTTATCACCCAAATGCATAACAAACAAAGTAACATGAACCTACTCATTTATAATTCAAACGAAACGAAATTTAGCCAAGTCGCAGCTGTAGTATAAAAGAAAATAACGAAATAACCTGTGGAGGATTTATCGTCAATTTCGCGAAATCCGGATCTTTTTCGTTGACATGTCGCACAAATGCTCGAAAACTTTCTTGTAACTCTGGTGAGTCAAGACGAATTGAAAGGAAAAAGTTTGGCTGATAATAGTAATATGATTAATAGTTATCGTGGGAATTTAATTCGCGAAGTAAAAAATGTCAAGATACCCGTTTCTTTTTCTCTGGCTTTAGTTTTGATCTCAAATCATCTTTATTAGTGTACAATCGTAGAAATTATCATTGCAAAAAATCCTTTTATTAATAAATGGTAATTAATAAATACATTTTTTTGACGATTCGTCGTTTTCTTTTGATTGCTTGATATTGTCAGGTGATGAATGGTCTTCAATATTTTCATTATTGTTATCGTTATTGGTAATTGTGGTAGAGGTTGTGCTTAAGACTGACAGTTTCTTCACTCCTGCTTCGGTATGTATTTTTTCAGCGATATCTAAGAGAGAGGAGGGAGGTGTCTTCTTTTTTCCTGCTTCTTTACTTTGGGTGTATAGTTGTTGAGCGACAACCGTTTTGGAGAGTTTCATTATGATCTTTGCTCTAAAAAACTTTAATCTGGGGTTTTAATCAGTTAGGCTTAATACTGAGATCGTTTATAAAATGCACACGTGACGACTGAAAAGAAACTGTGTCAGTAAATACTGTAGCTATATCGGGTTAAATTGGGCACCAATTAAAGGGTTTACTTGGTCATATTGGTAGCTTTTATTGGTTATGACTCATTTTACTTTACTGAATTTGATCGCTGGATGGCGTAAGACTCTAAGTAGATCCGGTAAAGTCCCGAGCCAACATTAAAGAAAGAAATCCCTGATTTAATTTCAGAGCACTGACCACCATACTCTTTCATAATATAAATCATTGTCTTGAGAGAGCAGTAGACAAACCCTTAACGTGAAAATTATGTGTTAACCTCATAAAGAATGAATGCTCCCAAACAACAACAAATAAAATATGTAGGCATTATTTTAACGGTATAAACAATGCCCCACAAAGTGATGAATAACCGTTCTATCGATCACAGATCGAGTACTTGGCATTTAAAAATCGCAATGAAAAAACGCGTGATAGGTATTGTGGGGGTAATATGAAAAATTAAACAGGTGATATAGCAAAACAAACAGGTGATATAGCAAAACAAACAGGTGATATAGCGAAACAAACTCTAAATTACCCAAATTTCTAAAATAGGTAAAAAAAAATTTCAATTAAAGGAATACGTCAGCGTTATATTAATAGATTCTTGCAATTTTGAGGAGGATTATGTTGTGTGGTATGACAAATAGCAAAAGCCTTGTTTTTTGTGTTTGTGTCATGCGTACACACACATGTAAATCTTAATATCTTTTTTGTGCGTGTGAATTGCAAGATTGGCCTTTTTCTTTTGTGAAACACGTAACCTATTACATCATTGACTGAATGCTATACACATACATACACCACAGAATTCCGGCCGAATTTTATTTTTATTTGCCAAGTTAAAAACAATCGTTTTTATTGTTCTTAGGCTAATTTCACAAAAAAAACCTTATCAAAAACCGAATATTGACTTCTCAAAAAAGGTATATGAAAATATTAATATAATTTGTTGACTATGAAATTACCGGCACATTTGTTCGCGTACTCTTCAACACCCTCATTTTTTCATCCCTTCTTGCTTATTATACCCCAGAAATACAAGTATTATTATTATTACCGTAGAAAAAAAAACCTGTGAGACCTTCCTTGAACAAGTTTTCAATCTAGCTTTTTTCCATTATTGTTGTTCGCATTAAACATTTTCTCTTACCCCACACTTTTGGCTATTTACAGAAGCGCGTGTGCGTTTCGTTACGCCAAACATGATATAATTCTTTACAAATGGTTCGTTTTTAAAATTAAAACAATGGATATATCACAGTATGTACTTTATGATCAAGGAAAAAAAGAAAAAAAAGCGCGGTAATCATGTTTTGTTTACTATGCATATTATATTTATCACCTGAAGCACTTGTGACCTCACGTAGATGACGTCTTTACGTCGAGAAGCTAACTAAATTTTTATGTAAAACGAGCTTTGACTAGGTTTTTTGTCGAGACATTGTATGTATGTCTTTCGTGTATTTTCATTTTTCACGAATATCATTATTTCTGAACAAATTTTATTATATATGCGAGGAAAAAAGTTGTACATAGCTAAATATAACCCAAACTGTGAAACTTATTCATTCAAAATTCTTGCTTCTTTTCATTTAAATTACGTTATAAATCTTCCTCAAGTTTCAAATTGAAGTAATGCATTCATTATTAATTTTTCCTTTTGCGTCATTTATTAATGCGCGTTATTACATCTTGCATCAACAAGAACAATACGAAACTATTTCCTTTAAAAGAAAAAAAATTTGCTTGACTCGACGATAACAACGACGATAACAAGATTCATTGTTCGATTATTAAAAAGCAAAATTTTTGAGACAGGAGAATGAACGCATGTTTGCTTGCATATGTATATGTGTACATAAGACATAAAGGTTAATTTCAATAAAATCAAATGACTGACTGCGCCATCGGTCACGAGATGAAACTTTAGATTTCGAATCTTGCGATTTACAATTTACAATCTAGTAAATCATTTTGATCGTTATGATCATACTTTCAGCAAAGAAACCATTTATCTGAATCTTTCTCGCTTTTGTTTATTAAAGGCGAAACGGCTGGATCCAAAAAAACAAATATTTGCTCGCAGTGTTATCAACTGGACATAGTCCAATTAATACTGCGCCACTGGACCACTGGACCACTGGACTTGGTAACTTTACAAGTCCCATATTGGTCCAGTCCAGTAACCAGAGGTTACTGGACACAGTAAAGTGACAACGCTGTTTGTTCGATTGAACCAAATTCGTGAAACCAAATCAGTGGTAGGATTGATAAATAATATCATCAAAAAATATGAAAACAAGCCTCTTTTGTCATCACCATACAAACAAGAAGATTAACGCCCAAGAGAAAACAATGTAAATCAGATTAATCATCTCTATATTATTTTCTATTGGTCTCCACATCTATAGATGTGATTCTCTTGTTTTGTAAAGAAAATGTTACCATAAACAATTTACCCCGCAAATATCCATTCATGCGAAGGAAAATCAACAAATAAATCGCCAGCCAAATTTTGTATCGATAAAATTTTCAGATGTCGCGTGGCAGGGTTTGAATGTTGTAAATCACAGGTAAACGATATCGATATAACCCGTGATATAAACTGATCATTATTAAATAACAATAGAGAAATTATTGATTCGGTAACAATGTAACAGTTCATAACCGCATTAGCAAATTTGACTATATATACATATGTGCGACTAAAAACAAGTTACCACCCCCAATTTACAATGATTTTCTTACCTTTCTCTTCGCAATCCCTCCCCATTTCCAGTATAACTTTAGTGTAAATGAAATACCAAATATCTGCATGAAAATGTTCCATTAAATATCTCAAAGTGGAAGCCCTGGTTCATATGTAACCAAATAAATAGTAGACAAAAACAAGATCTTCTACGTTGTGTTTCGTTACATATTCCAAGTTGCATAGCACGAAAAATGATTTCACAGTAGCAATGGCGTACATTGTAAGTGCGCGCGTTTTCTCTTGCACTGTATTCTTTCTAAACACGTTACTGACTAAATACTAAAAGAAGAAATGAAAAAGATCAGCACAAAAAAACGAACAATATCTTTATGCACTTGTCAAAAAACCCATTGTTCATAGGTTCTCTTTAGGCTGATATTGAGTATTATATGTGTAGTGTGCATGCAGCCTGTAATAGAACAGAGTTGTAAAATCATTTGGCTGATCATTCTATTATTATTAAATCATATACAATGTTATTAACATGATTTTTATGATAAAGATCGAAGGCTCTGTTTTTCTCATTGGCGACATTATTAATTTTCCATCTCGAATACAATCAATGATTTAAGATAAATAATTATAATGTATTACATTTATTTTTCTAATTCGTGTTATAGACGAGGATTTTTAGTACTTAGTAATTTTTTATTGCTAATATTAAATTGGAATACTAATGATCTATATTTTCCGTGCGTCAAAATTAATGCACTATGAGTGTTCGAAATCATCCTTTTGGTAAAGAAGGAAAAACCATAGTAAAGTTAAGTTTCATATTTTATATTTTATATTTTATATATTAGAGCCGAATTCAATGATTTACTATTTTCTTGTCGTCCTAATACTTCGGCATTCAATCCCAAAATAGAAGCTTCAATATAATAACAAGATCGAAATGATTTACGTGTATATATGTACCAGTACTGACTTAAAATCGTCAAGATAGGATTAACAAAAAAAAAAAGCTCATGAAATCCAAAGATTTTTAAGGTTTCGGATAACAAAATCAATAAATACTATTTGGTTAAGAAATACGAGTTGGATCCGAGTAAAATATGCAAAGTCAGCGGTATCATACCATTTTTGTGAATTGAAGCGATTTTACTTTCTGCTGTTCATTCTCGTTAGAATTGATTGCCGGTAAGACGAATAAGGCATACGTTCTTTTACTTTTCAAAATATTCACATGAAAGAATCTCAAGTTCGAAATTTTCTTTCAATGCTAGTTCAGCTATTATTCATTCTGAAAGCATGGAAGAACGGAATTCGCTCAACGGAGTTTTATTAATCGAAAAAAGATACCTGGATCCATGATTTCCCTGGAAAAATAAGTGTAGTTTTGAATGTTGAAATGGTTATTCTAATATGCAATGTCTTGATGATGCATTGCGCATCCACTCCGTCATATTTGCGGTAAGCAAACAAAAAAGAAAACTTGCATTTGTTATATTTCACGAATATTTCTGGTCTTTTAATTTAATAAAATCTGAACGAAACCATTCATTATTTCCTATTATTATTTTTTTGCATTTTATCATCATCATCGTCTTTGTCTATTATTAATCTTAGGACAAAGAAAAGTGTGCCTTTGGGCTGGTTAATGCATTCATCGCGATAACGAAGGATGTGACCCATTTACAGCGAAATTAATTGATAACCTTTGTGCCTTTCTTATCTCTGCAATAAATACTTCTTGATTCGTCTGCTATATGCAGGGGTGTATAATCTAGAATTTCGATTTCGTTAATAGACTACTCTCTAAACATATATATCGAATCATTCTACTCAAAGAATGATGAATATTTCCTCTAGATACATTCATTTTAGCCACCATTCTCATTGTAGTACCCTAGCCATATCGAAAGTGTCTGGTCATGTGATCCCGATCCCGATGCCGACCATCCGATATCCCCCTTAAAATCATGCACCAATCAAATCGCAAGATCAATGTGTAATGCAAAAAATTGAAAACAACGCTTATTTTTGAAAAATAGCTTGTATCTTGAGATTTTACATATGAAACAATCATTTGTGTTCTAACGAAAAATGTTCCTTGCGAAATTATACTATAAGTTACGCCCCGTCTGCTATATGCTATACAATAACCTTAACCTTAAACCTAACCCTAACCTAATC